GAGGCCATCCTCCACCCTGGGACTCCCCCCTAAGATGTCCCCTAACCCTGGCCCCCCCCCCCCCAAGATGTTCCCCCAGCCCCAAGATCTCCCTCTCCCCAATGTCCTCTCCCCCAACACTGTCCCCTCTCCCCACAGGGTGACTCCGGAGGGCCACTGTCCTGCAACGGGACCCTCCAAGGCATCGTGTCATGGGGGCTGCAGACCTGTGCCCTCCCTGGGCGCCCGGGGGTCTACACACGGGTGTGCAACTACGTGGGCTGGATCCTGGACACCATGAACAGAAACTAGGGACGCAGGGACATGCAGCCAGGCCACCACGGACCACAGGAGGCGAGACAGATCTGGGCCACCACAACTACGGACATGAGGACGTGGATCCAGGCCACCACAGACCACAAGCAGGGACACGGGGGCATGAATCCAGGCCACCACAGACCACAACTGGCAACACAAATCTGGGCTGCCACAACTAGGGAGATGGGGACATGGATCCAGGCCACCATGGACCACAACTGGCAACACAGACCCAGGCTACCACAGACCCCTTCAGGGTACAGATCTGGGCCACCACAAATAGGCACACGAGGGCATGGATCCAGGCAACCACAGACCATGACAAGGGACATGTGGTCCACGGTGGCCTAGATCCATGTTCCCAACTGTGACATGGATCCAGGCCACCACAGACCGCAACTAGGGATACAGGAACATGGATCTGGGCCACCAGAGACCATGACTGGGGACAGGGGGGGACACAAACTAGATCCAGGCCACCACAGGCTGCAACTAGGCAACACAGAGACAAGGGGAGGACACAGATTTGGGGAAGGGGCAATAAACTGGGAGCAAAACCAGCCTTGAGTCCACCTCTGCACTCCGCTCTCCTCCACCAGACGTGGCAGCCCCCAAATCTGCCCCCTAAAAACCCTCCTGTCCACCCCACAGGGTCCCCTGCCAGGGTGGGGAGTCGCTGGGGCCCAGGACACATCCCCCAATATGGATTTTTGGAGTTCTCCAATAATCTCTTTATTGAGGCAGTTGCAGAAAAGGGGAAGGGGGGGGGGGACAGGGACCCCCTGTGGAGAGAACATGGCACGAGGGGGACATTGCTTAACAGCAGGAAGTGGGTGAGGGGGACAGCAGCCACCACCTTAACTTGGCCCACATGCAAGTTCTCCCTCGGCTCCAGCAAGCCAGGGTCACCTTAACTCTGCCCACCAAAGTGGGACTGAAGCAGCGGAGCAACAGGGTAACAGCGGGGCCTGTAGTGTTTATCCCTGCCGGATCCCCGAGGGCGGGAGGAGTGGGGGACCCCGGCCAGGGGGGACCGGGGGCACCTGACACCCATGGGTGGAGCCCTGAGAGGAAGAAAGTGGAGGGAGCAACTCGGCTTCAACTGAGCTGGCCGAGTCGGGGGAGGGCCCAAGCGGGGAAGGCACAAGCCGGCCCCCAATGGTCAATGTCTACAAGGACCCAACGGGAAGAAGCTGATCCAAGCCTGCGGCCAGCTCGTGCCTCGATCTACTCAACCACCAATAGGCAATCTCAGTCAGGAACAGGCCAATCAGAGAAGGCCTCGTTGATCTGGATCAAACCAATCACCAACGGTCGCTCCAGGTCTTGAGGGACTCAACCGGGAAGACGCAAACCCAACAATCAAGCCAGGTCTTGAAGGGGCCAACTGGAAGATGTCGAGCTCTGGGCAGGGCCAACCACCATGGCCAAGCAAGGCCTGGAAGAACCTGACTGGCAGAGGCCAATCAAAGCCAAAACCAACCCAGCCACCACCAGCCAACCATGGTCTTGATTAAAGCAACCACCAATGGCCAAGTAGCTCTTCACTGCACCAACCAGAAGAGGCCGATCCAGGCCTGCTCCAAGTCAGCCACCAATGGTCAGGCCCAGATCTGGATCAAGCCATCTGCCAATGGCCAAATCAGGTCCTGATCTACTCAACTCAGGTCTTAACTAACAACCTGATCCCTAATCAGGCCAATCCAGCCACCACTGGCCAACCCAAGTCTGCAAAAGACCAATGAGAAAGCACCAACCAAAGGCTGCTCCCAAAGAACCAATAGTCAAGTCAGGTCTTGACCAACCTGACCCAATCCCTACCTAGACCAGCTGGAATGGGTTAATCCAGGCCTGCACCAACCCAGCCAGTGATGGCCAACCCCATGTCTAGACCAGGCAACCACCAACGGTCAACTGAGATCCATGACAGGCAAATGAGGCAAGGCCAACCCAACTAACCAACGGGTGACTCGGGTCTTGACCAGCTCGACCTAATCCCTACCCAGGCCAACCAGAACAGGCCAATCTGTGCCTGTACCAACCCCATACCTGGACCAAGCAACCACCAACGGTCAACTAAGGTCCACGACAGGCCAATGAGACAAGGCCAAACCAAACCTGGGCCAACCCAAAGAACCAACGGTCAACCCAGGTCTTGACCAACTCCACCCAGTCCCTACCCAGGCCAACTAGAAGAGGCCAGAAGAGGGACCAGGCTAAGGCCAACTGAGGTCGGTCCAACCTCTTCTTGTATCCAACCCAAAGAACCAACGGTCAACCCAGGTCTTGACCAACTCCACCCAGTCCCTACCCAGGCCAACTAGAAGAGGCCAGAAGAGGGACCAGGCTAAGGCCAACTGAGGTCGGTCCAACCTCTTCTTGTACGTCCCCACCTCATCCTCGAGCCTGTTCCAATCGCAGCTGATCCGTGCCCGGGGCCAACCAGCCAACGCCACGCAGCCGTTCCCATGCCAAGGGGCGGACGCCACCTCGCCCACAGGCCCCCCCCCACCCAGCACCCAACCCATGTGGCTAGGGCCAGGCCCCACCCATCCTGCCCCAAAGAACATCCTACCCTTCCTCCCAGGGCCTCACCGGCACCTCCCGCTGGCTGCCGGGTGCCTCCCGCAATAAAATAAGCTTAAAAAACCCACCCCATCAAGCCCAAAGATACCCCAAAACACTCCAAATTTGGCAAAAAAAAAAAAAAAAAAAAAAACAAAAAGAAGA